TGTGCCTCTTGAGACCTCTATTTTTGTCTCTCAAGCTCTATTTTCCACTAGGTGCAGGCTGTATTTTCCGTCGTATATTGCTGTGCTGCCCTATACCATGATCTATGCTCGAAATGTTTGTTTGGTTCAACAAGCTGATATTAAATTATTTGATTCAGAGAGATAGGCTTGTGTTATTTGGTTTGATAATGCTGAAAATGTTGTTCCCTGAAGTGTTTAGATATTTCAGCCTTTTGCCTTGATGTAGAAATAGCAGAATTTCCTGGGGGACAGGAATTGAATTTTTCTATCATCAGAACTACAAGAAACGTAGTAGGAGGGAAAGATAGTTTAACTTAAATCCTTGTGTTGGAAGAAATTCTCTGCTTGAGATAAAGGCATGGTGGGACAGAAGATGTGACAATAGAAAGAACTGACCTGTTCAAGTTTCCTTTTTTATGAAAGGAACTGCATTTTCTGTATTTAAACAAACACTGTAGTAGAAGAGAGTCAAGACTAGCCTTTGCCCACTTTGTTTTTCTCATTGCATCTCTGGCAAGGGACTCGATCTCTGATCAATCAGAGAGAAAAGCCTTCAATTAGAGCTTCAGACAAGCCCCTTGAGAAGAATTTAATGTAAATATCTGCCGAAGTCAAACAGGGGTGACTGTGGCTGCGACCAGGTCATGAGATGTTGAGCACATGCTGGACAAGTGTGTGCTGAGAGAGGATCAGAGAGTGAAGTCCTCAGTGGTGATTTTGGGTGAACCCAGTGTTGAGCATGCTGAGTTTTGGGTCCATGGGACAAAGTCTACCTTCTTGTAAGTGCCTTGACTGGAGTTTGACTATTGCAAATAGTAGTAGCAAAGAGCCAGTTAGAAAATGGCAGACCACTTTAGCTGGAAATGTTTTTTTAAAAGGAAAAGACTATTTCTCCTTTTGGAAACTATTTACATTGTGCTCTTCCATCATGAATGTCCTCTTTCTTTTTGGTTTTCACAGGAAAATGTACTTAAAAAGAAACCTGTATTTTCATTTGGAGATGAGGGACAGAGGAAAGTTCTTTTTTTAAAACAAGAACTCAAGTCTTTTTCTTCTTTGAGCATAAACTGAGGCAAAGTCAGCCCGTCAGTAACTTGCATGGCTCCTGTTTCTTGCCACTCAAATATGAGATTATTCATTGTGTAGCCAACTGTTGAGAGAAGGGGACAAATGCCATGTGAAACATATTAAATACTGATCTGGAAAAGGATCAGTGTTTTCAAGTTTTTGCCTTGAAAACAGTGATCAGCTCAGCCACATTGCTCCATGACCCCTGCTGAGTCATTACTCTGTTTTGCAGAGCAACCCCAGGGCTGGGGTGACCCATTATTCCCAGTCTATGCTCCTGCAAATGCACCTGGAACAGGACTCTGTGCCACACTCATTGCCAAGTTCCTGGTGGTGGTTTTACTACCTGCCTGTTTTTAGAAATTAAGAAATGTGAGGTTTCCAAATTCAGCCAACGTGCATGGCAATTCTCTCACTGTTTTGGCCATCAGGGATCTGGTCTTTGGACTGGAACCACCTTGATATTTGATGGAAGCTGTCTATGTTGCAGAATTAAGCTGTTTATTTTCCATTTTACAGCTCCATGCTGCTTTTTCTTCCCCATGGCTGCCACTGGGAGCTGCAGTGTGAGATGGGATGTACATACCTTAGACAAATTTACACTATACATAAGGTAAAAAAGTCCTCAAGACAGAGTTAAACTTTCCTTCTTTAAGCTCATTAAGTTTAATCTTAATTTCATTGGTTTAAAATAAAGAGTGGATGGGGTTGGAAATGAAGTGAAGGTGAGGGATTGGATTGATTTCCTGTGGGAAATCCAGTGAAATTAGTTCAGCTTCACTGATGGATTCTCGGATCTAGTGATAAAGGGATAAATGGGAAGAGTTATGCTGAGACAAAACCATGGAGCTCTACTTAGCAGTTTCCCTAATTTTTTGTCAGGAAATGCTGCAGCTTTCAAAACATAATTTTTCATGGGCTTCTACCAGTTTTCATGTAGTACAGATGGTTTTAGGCTTGTGTTAGTATAATATCTCCAGTAATTTTACATTAGGGATCTTGAGGAATTTATTAGTGAGGAGCAGAAGTCCTTGGGCTGAGAAAGGTAGAGATGAGCTAGATTCCTTCCCAGGCCAACCCTTGATCTCAATATGCTTTGGCTAACACCTTCCTGGTTATTACTTTTCTGCCTGCTGTAGTAGCAGCAGCAGCGAGTGGCGACGATCTGGCTGAAGGACCTGTATCCTTCTGCTCCAACATGGATTCAACTACTGATGTAAGGAAGCATTTCCTATTCCCCCTTTTTCACTCATTTTTTTTCTCTCCCTTCTGCAAATAAAACTGTTTCTGAAAATAAATTTCCCAAGCATAGTTGTGTTTTACCAGGTCTTGAGGACACAGCTGCCTGGGGGTATGAAAGCACCCCCAGCTATGCGGTGACCTCTGCTGTCTTAGACGCAGCCCAGCTCATGGTGTACAGTCTCCATGTCTTTCAAAAGCACCATCCTTCTCCAAGAACCTGACTTCTGGAAGGAGGCATGAGGCACAGGAAAATTTGTCTCTGTCTCAAGCTCTTTATTGATGTGTGATAGAGCACTGCCAGGCTGCCCAGTCCTTTTGGATGGGCATCTTCTTATTTAACCATGAAGAAAAATAATGGTATTTTGCATGCTTTCTTTTGAAAGGAAGCTACTAATGCAAAATTAGGACTTGAAGCTCAGGTAGCTGGTGGCACTTTCTCAGAAGGATTCCACACTTCTGCCAACCTCTTCTTCTTAAGGTGGCTGGAGAAAGCCATCTTCACTTGCAGTACGTTTCTCTGCTCCCACAAGGATGTGCTTAGACATGCAAATAGTGAACTGTATACTGCACTGCTCTTAAGCACAGGTTAATGCTGGATATAAAGGTCCAAATGAGGGAGCTGGTTAATGACCTTTTTCTTTCTTTTAGCTTGTATAGCTGTATTTAACTCAAAATGAAACAATATTGGTCAGGGAAACAAGGATGTGTTTCACTTTTCAGTGATTTTTGTGCAAAGGAATCTGCCACAAAAGGAGGATGAAACACTGGCACAGGCTGCCCACAGAGGTTGTGGGATCTCTATCCATGGAGCATTTCAATTTTGCAAGACGAAGCCACAGCTAACCTGAGCTAATGTTGTCAGTCGTCAGGAGGTGGTTGCGTGGGAGATGTCCAGATGTCCCTTCCCACGATGTTGCTATGACACTGTTAATTGGATGCTCTGTCACTTAAACCCCTTCAATTTCTTTTATCCAATGGCATGCTCAAAGTCTCCACTTTCTCATTTTAGGCTTAAACAGTAGCTCTGCCCTCCCCCACCTTGGTGGAGCTCTCCCCATTGAGTCACCTCACCTGATGCTGTAGAGGACATTGCCATTTCTGGAGATCCTCAGAAGCTTGTTGTCTGTGGTAATCTCATGGAAATGGGCCCCTTTCTCATTAGCAAAGAACAAGTCAGGCTTCCAGATGGAGTCCAGCATAGAGGGGTCCAGGTCCAGAGAGTCATCAGGGTATTCGTTGTATGCCAGCCGTGGGTCATTCCACTGCTGTCGCAGGAAGATGTTCACCCGGTAATCCTGCATGGTGTAAGCGGGGAGCAGAGAAACACAGTTAGTGCTCAGAGCAGGCTGAAAATCCTAAGAACTGGGGAACATGTACTAAAATCATTCTCAAAAACAAACCATGACTAGACCTACATTCCCAAGCTATGGCAAGCCTTCTTGGCATTATTTCTCAAGGAGTCGTCATTATTTTTAGCTCTGCAGCTTACAGCTATCTCATAGCATGAACAGCTGCCTATCCTTGCATCCCTCCATCACAGCAATCATCAGCTGTGTGTGAAGCGTCAAGACCTCTAATCTGAACCCCGGGGCTGGAGAAGTGATGTTTAGTTGCAGGGGTTGTAAGGGCTGGTGTCAGCAAGACGACTGTTGCAGAGGATTAAGGGGGAAAGGACATCAAAGCCAACTTCTTTTCAGTGTTGAACCATCCCATATTGTGACTATGTATGGTTCCTTCAGACTTGTGAAAAGAAAAAGCACAGCGAGACAGGCAGTCCATGGAAGGGATATTCCTTATGTGTTCACTAATATAAGGGTAACTCAGATGAACTGATGGGACCAACTGCCCTTGGTGAGAATATGTGAACAGGGGAGGGATGTGCATGAAGTCTGCTCTCCTAATCCTGAGTGAGCATTCTGGGTTCCCCTCTGTAATGTCAAAATGCCGTATATGCTACAGATTTTATAGGATGGCTGTCTTTAATTGAAGCTAGTCCCCCAGCACTATGCAAAATGATATCTGCCTCATAACTGTGTGTCTTACAGCTCCCCTGAGTTCTCCAGGCCAAGGCTGGCTGCTGAGGTTGAGCTCAGACACTCTCCTGGACAATTAAAGGCAGTTTCTGTTCTCCCTGTCTGACCAATAGCTTCCCAGAGTGATCTGCGTGCCCCTTTTTCTGCTGAATTTCACATAAGAAAGTGAGCCAACAAATTGAAATGGGGAGAGGACGTGCCAGCTATAAGGAGAGGGATAAAAGCTCAATGTCCATAAATTAACTGACATTTTCTAAGTTTAGAGGCAGACTGCGTCTGAAGAGCAGCATATAATAAACCAATTTCACTGCCCTGGCTCAAACTAATAGTTGCTATCATGATTAAGGGTTTCTTTGGTGCCTTTCTAATGCTAATGTACTTTGAAGACTTTTATTAAGAGACAGTTGGATGGTGTCTGAGGTGCTTACAGGTATCTAATACCTGCTGCAAGCACTAGGACCTTTCTTTCTGTGAGACTATTTGGCATCTCTGAGGAGATCTCTCTGACTCTGCCATCAGGTCTGATCTTTCCATCTGGAGAACACACAGCTCTGGAGTTGAAGGGTGCATGTGGAGGAGAGTCTTTCTGATGTTGCTGCCTCAAGTGTTCGCTTGACTGTGAACCTACAGCCTCTTGTCCAGGAGGACATGATTCTTGTGGAGTCCAGTCACACTGGAGGGTTGGGAAAGGATTGTGTCTTGGGTGCTTTGTGTTTTTGGATGGGGCAGTTCATAGCCAAGCCCATGGTCTAGAATCTGTTTCAGGCCACTTAGTGCCATCTGCATCCTTGGAGCACAGAGGCTGCTAATGACATTAATGATTGTGACAACAGCAAATGGACCAAGGATTTGATGCTAAAAGCAGCAGAGCTCTGAACATGAGAGAGTCGCAACACTCCTGCTGCTGATATTCCAAATGTCACCGTCACAAGTCCTAGTGCATCCCTCTGACTTAATTATGCATCTCTGTCCATCCTGGAAAATGCATCTTGAGAAAATGGGAATAGCTGTGGACAGCTAGGAACCAGGTCTTAGCGCAGGACTAGCCAATCACGCAAACCTGGAAAAGGAAAGCAGCCCTGAATCTTCACTTCCCATGGCATGCAGCAGCTCCCCAAACAACTTGTATACTTTCAGTTCTCCCTTTTCTGTGTGTAACGATCTGCAGCCATTGCAGTCAGGGGAAATCAATGTCACTGACCGAATAGGTAGAAAGCAAAAGGTTGTTTTGCTTATTCAGCTACAAATCAGCTGGATGCTAGCAGGTCAGCTCCAGGTGGGGGCTTATGTCATGTACAACACAAATTAAACTCATGTTTGGAAGAAACTTCAGTGGTAGCTGCCCAGAAGTGTTCTCAGCCTGATGGAGTATTGGAAGGGGGAGGGGAAATGGAGCCAATCTCTACAACAGCCTGTGTTGCTGCAGATAAGCTTTGTTGCTGGAGTAAATTCACTGCTTCAGCTCCAAAACTTGCCAAAAAGAAAGGAAAGGGTGAGAAGAGAGGTGTAGCGTGGTTTACATTGCCACCACAGCAGGCATAAGAGGCTATAGACAGAATGACTGCCATAGTCTTCGTCACCATGATGAAGGATCTTAATTACATGCTTGTGGGCCAAATGAAAATTAACTTCTCGCAGTAGATGGCTGTGAGAAGGCCCCTCCTAACTCATCTCCAGAGACCAAGTGTCCTGTGCTCATGTCCTACATGGGAACAGTCCAGGAGTGTCGTGGATTCCTGGTGTGAGAGACTGCACTACCTCCGTCCAGGGGCTGTTCAGCACTGTGGTGAGTAACTCTGGTGCGTGCTATTCTTTGCGCTCTTCATTTGGAGACAGGTGTTTGCAGCGGATATTTTTCTGTTTTGGAATATAGACACCTGAGCATTTATGTTGTGATATAAAAAAGGCAAGGACAAAGAAATATAATACATGCACTGAATGCAATTCTCTGGCTTTGCCATTTTATGGCACTAATAATTTTACCTATGTGTGTGTGTGTGTGTGTGTGTGTGTTTATGAAGATCTTCCTTTCTCCGTGGGTTTATTCCACAGTCCTGGCCTGGCCACTGAGAACGGTTGTTTCCTCCCAGGTGCCTTTTCCCTTATGACAGACAGCTGCGTTCCACTGTGGTATTGCAGGTGCTGAGCAGCCTTTTAGATTTCTTGTGTCCAGGCTTATTTGAACATAAATGTAAAAACAAGCACTGTGACTGCAAACTGGACATGAGAGTGCCTGAGGAGCCAGCAGAAGGAATGGGGAGCAAATGGGGTATGTCTGTGGCTGTGACATAGCCCAAGATAAGGGTTGCAGTATTCTGTACCAGCTAAAGGATCCTGTTTGTTGAAAGCTTTGTGCCTAGGCATTACAGTCAAGCTGAGAGGTGATGAGCTGAACAACACTCATTTGTTGGCTACTTGGAGATACACAGTGTTTCTCCTGGATGCTGTTGTGTGAGATCTTAATTAGCATCACCAAGAAGTCTGTAGTTATTCCTAAATGATGGACAGAACGGACCAATTTCTGATGTGAACTTTCAAGAAAAAAAAAAAAAAAGTTTTACTGGGGCTGCAAACTCAGCAAAAAAAAATCTCTTTCTCCATATCCTTCTTATCACTTGAGTTCCTCATTTGTGTGCCAATCACATCCAGGCATTGATTATCTTGTGCAGCCTGCTCCTCTGCCTGGCTTGGGAGCGGAGAGCAGCAACTGTGTGTTGTGAAGGCATTCAGAAGCTTTGCAATTTGGCACAAAGACATTTTACTCCCAAGGGAGAAATGACACAGGGCAGGAAGAAAATAACTGAAGTGATCAAAGTAGTTCAATTTGATAATGCTGAAATGAAATTCTGCTTAGTGGCCTCGCAAGGAGCCAAGGAAACAGAAGATCATTTCAGACTGTTCCTTCCCAAGATACCACAGTCTTGGCATCTGATGATGAGTGAGCTGATGAAAGCAGTGGCAGGCTGGAGGTAGTGCTGTGAAGAAGGGATGGAGGCTGTCAGGAAACTCAATAGGTTTCAGGCCCTGACTCAGGGGTTCTGTCAGACTAGCCTCTGCACTGAACAGTTTTGGTGGGAGACTTTACTTTGATAAGTTTACATTTTGCTGATGGAAGAAAACAGGGTAGACACTGAACTTCCTCAGGAGGTGATTCTGTTATCCCACCTGGACATCAGAGCGCAAGTGGCTTTATTGACATTGGGTTCATTCTCTAGAAAGACAATGAACAAACATTTTTTAAGGCTACTTGCTAAGCACTACAACTGACTGACTGGAGAGAAGGGGGAAAAAAAAAACAAAAAAAACCCCAAAAAACCAAAAAACCCCCACCACACTGGGAGCAAGTCTTGGAAGGGTTAATAAGGGACCTTGTTACCTTGCCACAGCTGTAGGCAATTAGCCAATTTGAAGCCTAGTGTGAAAGCCACAGCTGGGCCAAAGGGAGGAGGTGCTGCTGAGGAAGAAGGCCGGTGCTGGAGGAAGGTAGGCAGGTGGTGAGGAGTGGGATCAGTTCCCTGGTACTTAATATGTGTGGGTTTTTTGTTCTGGAACACAAAGCAGAAAGTTTTTCATGGCCTTCCTATAAAAGGAGGGAAAATCATATTCCTGTGGGCCAAGGATGGAGCTGCTGTGGGGGTGGGCTGTAGCTGCTATCCTGAATTTCAAGCCTTGTTTTTCAGCTTGTTTTTTTATGTCCTTGTATTTGAGTTGCATAGTTCTACTTCATGGCTTCCCCCCCACTCAGTTCAAAGACAAACTCCAACCACAGAGATAACCAAGACACTGTAGGTCTAACATTGAAACTGCAGCAGACTGTGAGATGTTGTGAAAACCTTTTCATTTTGTATTGCATGACTCGTTACATGCTTATCATCTCTGTGGGGTTGATTCTTGGTTTTAAGAATGACTGACTGACTGCAGACAATTGAGCTCAAAACTTAGCCTTTGCTACAGGCTTTGTGCGTTGATACTTACGTCTTTTGCTGACCTTGAGGTGAGTGGGCGCAGTATTAAATGTGACCCACGTGCTTCATCTGTCATATTTGCTGTCTGCTGCACTGTGGCTTGTGAGGCTGGAGTGAATTGCTTAGTCTGTTTTGCAGGATGATTTGTTATCTCATTGGAAAGCTCGTATATAGATGTCTCTGAACAAGTATTTAACATTTGGACAGTTGCAGCCTCCAGCTTCTCCTGTCCTTAGGAGATGCTGGGAGACCAATTGTGGCTGTGTTGCAGCTGGCTGGAAGGTTATGTTTGGTTTGCTCTTTTCAGATGGCGTAACTATGGCATGAAATAAGCAGAAATAAATTTGCTTATATACGCTGTATCTAGGGGAGCCTGTGCTGGCTGTTTTGTGGTTTTCTTTCTTTTACTCCCTTTTGTTTGCTGCATGTGGGCCCTTTTTAAAACACGGGCCTGGGAGGTGTCATCTTGAGCATTGAGTCCAGCTCCTAGTGACTCTAGGTGATGATGCAATAAAATATTTCTACTTTTCCATGTGCCTTCACTGTATACAAAATGCTCGCAACTGCCTAAGCCAGTGAGAGATCCATGAAACTGCAGCTTCCATTGGAAGAGAGAGCGAAGGCATTGCTTAATTCCATGTTTGCTGTTATAGCAGGAAATCTGTTAGATGACATGTTCAGATAATCCTAACAGTTGTCTCATGCTACAAAGAAAAGCCAAAGCTGGTGCAGTTTATTCACTTAAAACTAAGACTCTGTTCTCTGGGTGCTTGACTTCTGTTTCATTTTGAAAAAAGAACTTGTAGCTTTGCTATAGGTTTCCTACTCTGGTGTGGCTGGGGGGAAGGTGTTCGTGCTTTTGAAGGGCAAAAAGGGATTTAACAGCCTGTGGTTGGGGGTGGGGGTTGTTTGGTGTTTTTAATAAAAATAAATGGATAGGGTGGATGCACCTTGCATTTGCCCTCTGGAATTCCTTGCTGTTGGATGCACTACTGTAGTAATGCTTTGGGACAGAAGGAGGCTGTCTGCACTTGTCTGGCTGTTGTAGTTGGTAGCATCTTTCCTCTTGAAGCACTTGTTGGCTTCACAGGGATGTGTTCCCAATCACAGGTTCCCTGGCCCTTAGAGCTGGTTGTAAGTGAGGTTGATGGATATGTTATAAGCCACAATATAATATAAATGTCCAATCAATTATGAGTACTGCTAGAAGCTTTTATGTTGGGTCTCCAGTTCTGCAGGTTGCTTAAAGGAGTTTATTTCACTTGCTCTAGGTCAGCTCTGCTTTGGGGAATTTAGTTTGGTGGATGACTTTGTCTTTTTTTCTTTTTTCTCCTTCCTTCTACCCTTGCAACAGTTTTCAGGTCTCTATTTCTTGCCTTGTTCATTTTGAACCTTTGTGGGGCAGATTTCGGCTTTCTGCCCACTCTGGGAAGTCTGTGCCTTCTCTTGGCCCCAACTTATTATCCCCTGTTCTGAGGTTTGTAGACTCAAGTGGCTGCATCAAACACCTGTTTTGTTCTATTTTCCTGTATTTTCTCCTCCTCCTATACCTTCTACAATGCCTCAAACTGTAAGTGAGTGTTCACCTCCAATTTCTCTAATCCTCTGCATGGTGACCTAATGATTTATGCTGATTTGTGAGATTCAGGCAGTGTAAACTTAAATGGCAGCAGCGGTATTTTCTGTAGGAACTAACAGCCACGCAATGGAGATATTTTAAAGCCTTCTCTAATTGCATGTGTAGTATCCATTAAAACCTGGTGACTCTTCTCCTGCAGGTAGTAGTGCAATAGTAACCAAATACAAGATGATGTAGTACTCGGAACCTGAACCTGGCCAAGCTTAGGGTGCCTAATGGTTGAGGTTTAAACCATAATATTGTTCTTTCTCTTTTGGCGAGTGGGGGAGTGTTATCATCATCAGTCCCAGGGGTCAATGATAGACTACTGCTTTCCTCATAGTGAAATGCTGAATTGCCTCACCCCTGAGTCATTTTTTCCCCCCACAGTTATTTGATCACTTGTTTGAATTCAAAGTAGTCAGGTCTGTCTCAAAACCCCGTTCATGACAGGACCTTCTGCCTTTCCCAGAAACTGTGGTGGGGAGCTGACACTGCCTGTTTGACCTGTTGCATCCTCAAACAGAGGGGAAAGACTGGCTTCTCTGCAGAGTAAATCCCAGGTTAACAAATCCCAAAGATTGCTCTGACTTGCTGGGCTCTCATTTTTAGATGTTTCTGTACCTGTGTTGCTTCTGTTCTCGTCAGCGTTTACAAGCAGAATCGCTGTCCCCAAAGAAACTCATTATATTAGGTTGTACAAAATGCTGCATCAGCCTGACATCTGGACTAGCTTGTCAGAGCTGGCTTGGGTATTTCTAGACAAAGCAATGTGCCCAGAGGGTGTTCTTGGGTTCCCGTGGGAATTTTTTCTATGGAAGATAGACTATGAAATGAGTGGCATCTGGAGAGGATAGCAAGTCCCTGCAGCATGTCTTGGAGGTGAACTGCATCCCTCTCTCATGTTAGTCTATGCTAATTTTATGGAGCATCCTGCTTACTGGGATCCTGTGGTGTCTTTGTATGACTGCTCCAATGCATCTTGCAATGTAGGACAGACATATTAAAAAACATGTCATTGTAACATGCTCCATACGTTGCACAGGGATTCCTTGTGGCCCTGCCCCTCTCCCTTGCAGTCTGCGGATCGTCTCTGCTAGATTGTGTAGGAACAGCGTATTTATTGCCTGTAACACCAAAGGAGGTATCCAATAAAATAGTACATTAGGAACAGATGTGTATTTTGGTTCTAGTTCTTTCTCTTTTGCTTTATATATAAACAAATCCATGAATACACTTCTCGTCTATGAACTCTGATAAATTCTACAATCCAACTATGAAATTAGTTTCTTCATGCTTGGACAGAGTAACAGCTTTTTTTTTTTTTCTACTACTTGAACAAAACTGCCCCCAACCCCAAACATTTCCAGAAGAATGGTATAGTGTCAGAAGAGACTTAGAACCCCAGGTATGGAGCTGTTGATCTCCTCTAACAGTTGTGTGCATGACAAGTAACTTGTTCAAGTCAAGGGGTGTGATCTATATGTAAAGCCTATACCATCCTGCCTGAATGCACTAAACACCTGAAGCATTCTTCATTCAATGTCTTTCTAGAAAAAGAATTACCAAAGAGTAATTAAACACTATATTTCTGGATTACCTTTAATTAACACAGAGGTAAGGCACTATACCTCCAGAGTTTTCCTTTGCTGTTCACTGATTATGTCATAACCAATATTTAATACTTTTCAGATGAAGCAATTATCTGCTGTTCTAGTGATCCTCTGCTCGTAGTGTCTTGCCAATTAGATACAGCCTTTAGCCATGTTCACTAATTTTGGCTGAAGTGAGCCTTAACTTGCAAATATTCGTTTTGATTTTTTTTTTTTAATAAAAACCATTGTCTAACAGAAATATGTCTCCAAGAAAATAATCATCTAGTGATTCTCTTAATCTTTGGGAATCTGAAATCTCTTGTAGCCTGAATCTGAGTTCAGCTGATTTCCCTTCACTTAGTGTTGATTCAAACTTCTGTATTTATATGCACTTAAACAGAAAGTATCTGCAACTATCTCTGAGCTTAGAGCCTTAGGCAAGTCTTCAGCAAGACTGTTTCCTTTTCTGACCCTTATACAGTGTACAGTATACAGCCTGTACAGTGTTTTCATAGCGATGCAGATAGAGACTATGTGATCTTCAACTACATGAAGTGTGAGTCTTGTGTGTTGACGATTAATTTACTCAAACCTTAGGTAAACTTAGGAACATGGAGACAATATTTTCCTCTGATCACACTAAAGAGGAGGGTGATGCTGCATTTGCTGGGAGTGCAATGAAGCTGAGCCAGTAGCTGAGCAGCAGTGCTGTGATTTTTACTTACCATAGTTGTTTCTGCAATCGAACCAAAGCTGTTGATGAAAATGTTGCAGCTGACATTCACTGGTGGGCCTGCATGACAAATACAGATTGGAATAGCAGTTCACCGTGTGCTTATAAGACAAAGTATTTGCACTCTGTAGTATTAAAACCTATTGTGGGAACAGGGTGACTGAGGGGTGAGTATGGGAATAAGGTCTGGATTACCTAGCTTAGTCTAGTCTTGGTTCTGATGCCAGTTTGACATCAGACAATGCTCTTGCTTTGTCTCTGTTCCCCTGTTTCTGACAGTGTTTATATATCTCTTCTGTGGACTGTTTTGATGCAAAGGAATAGATCACAGTCAGGCAGGACAGGTTTCTAGATATCTTGACATTGCTGTATGAGTGCCAAGCTCACCTTGAACATGATAGCAATGTGTCCCAGAAAAGAGCTGAGAGACTATTGACAGGTCCTCTTGTTTAGAGCTCTCTACTTTTTAGATGCTTTAAATGAGTATTTTAAATGTTTCTAAACTAGGACCACATGCTCCCTATGGAGCCAGGGCAGCAGAGTGTGCTGTAGGGATGAGGCTGGGTAGAGGAGCAAGTGCCCCATGTGATACTGGTGGTGTCTGCTAAGGCTCACAGCTGGACAGGAGACTGCAGGGCTCTGCCAGCAGAAATTCTCTGGCTGTCCTGTTTTGGGAGAGGGTACTCCCAGGCTTTGGGCTATGCCTCTCCTGGGTTTTATTTGCTTTCAGACCAAAGCTTTGTTTAGCCTGCTTCTATTGGAAAAGTTAAGGGGTCACCAAAGGAGGGGAGTGAGGATTAAGGGATGAAAAGATTGTGGTTAGAGGGCATGGGGGTCAGTCTGTTTGTGTGGTACTGGTGCCCAAAAGTATCAATATAGATGTGGATCACAATGTTGCCTGGGAAATTTGAGGTGTAAATGCTGCATTTGGACTGAGGGAGCTGCCAAGAGCTGCAGTTCAGCACAATGCAAAAAGCTGGAGAACATTTTGGAACCAGAGGCATATCTGGTGCCTGGCAAACCAGTGGCTTGCCCACATATTATGAGAGGATTTCCATAGAGCCTTAACAAAGGGAGGGGAGAAGCAAAAAGGGCTCCTGAAGGAGCTGCTACTGGTCCCGCCCAGCATGCGATGGGGAAGGGAGCCTAGGGAGAGAGCAGAGGATACCGCCCCAGGACCCAAGGTCTCCCTTTAACTCTGGGGGAATTAATCTCACATCATCTGTGTGACAGATGCTTCTGGGAAGATAAGATCTCTGGAAGTGGCGAGTGTGGATTTTTAGATTATTCCCCCCTCCTTCATGGAGATGAGGACAGCGTCTGCATTTCAGATGCTGCCTGAAGGCTCAGCCTTGCCCCTTAAGGCCACATCTGCAGTCTGGCAGCTGCTGCAAGATGAAATACTGGGAGGGAGGAGTGGCTTTAACGAGAGGCTTGTGCCTCTAAACATTGCAAACTTCCTTCTGTGTAGAAATTAATGGAATTTCCTGATTACTAAGTAACATTTGGAGCTTGGTTTGCTCCATTTCCCTTTCCTCCTCTCCTACTTCAGCCTCTTCTGAAACTTTGTGCCTGTCCTCTGCAGAAGTAAGATTGCAGCCATGTAACACCAATGGTGGGATTTTCTTGGTATGAGTCCCAGGCAATCTGAGCAGGCTTCTGTCTAACCAGCTCCCAGACAGCCCTTTGCCAGCGCAGCAGCGGCTCGCATAGTGTTCAATCTGTGCAGCTCTTCCTCCAGACTGTTAAACATAGGCATGGGCTAAAATATCAGATACAAAATGGTGTCTTGTCTTTTTTGCCTCTTTCACCAAGCCCTCTTATCCAACAGGCTTGTGAAGTTTATCCAGCAGCTGAAAGCACACATTTGATCAGGCTTTAACACTTCTTTTATCCCTTTCGTAGTGCTCCTGTCGAGCTAAGGAGTAGTAGTTTTCTTCTTATGAACCATATAGAAAGTCTGTGTGCGTGTGACTTCCCTTCCCAATGGGCACAGCATAAGAAAAATACTGAGCTGACCTCCTGGATGACTGCATGTGTTCATGCCTCTGATGTGCATAGAAGATTTTGGCCCTCCTCTTCCTGATCCTATGCTGATATGAAGCTGAATGCAGGGTGAGCTTGGCTCAGTGCATGTGAAGAAGACTCTCCTTGGGGCAGCCCAACTCCTGTTGAGGCACTGCGCTCTTCCCATGGTGTCCGAGGGGAGCCGTGAGCATTCTGCAGGGTTTGAGGTTTTTTTAGCTTGTATGAGGCTCTAGAAACTTCCCTGCCTGCCACTGAAACTTGCCACGTCTGCAGTGGGATGCAGCTGTGAAGGAACATACCTTTCCAGGGTTAAGGGTACAGCCTGGGTGAGAGGTCCCTTGTCCCACACCTGCCAGGTTCAGCTCTGTCCCTGCCTGAGTTACTGACTATCCTCCAACTTAAACCAAAGCCCAAATACTTCTTCCATGTTCTCAGAATGTGAATCCCCAGCTAAGTCCAGACTTCACAACATTTATGGAGAAGCTGCAATCTTCTTTTTGTTAATCTTCCCCTCCCCAAAAATCAATCTGATACGGATCTTTGGTATTATTTTAATTTAGATCTAAGCCATTAAAATGCCCTTATGAGTTACTGCAGTTAATTTAAATGACATGCTTTGAGAGCTACAACCCCAAGCTCTGTAAAACACCTCCTATGCCTCCCATATAAATTGGAGCCTGATTTATGTGTGGGAGGCTAAGCCAGCAAAACTGCCCTGTGGGGAAGGTGTAGTTCATTGAAATAAAACTGAAATTAAATTATGTGAAATAAAAATGCAATACAGCAGCATTCAGCAGGAAATATTAAAGTTTAATTTCTTTTGTGTGTGCATAATTTACTGGTAGGCAGGTTTACAGGGTGTTTTTTTAACTCTTTGTGATTTGGATGAAAACAGCAGTGTTTTCTCTTGCCTAGTTGATTATTAGGATGTAAGATTCCCACCTGTCTTTGGGTTTGAAAGCCCACAATAGAGCTTGTTGCTTGAAGCTGGATGGTAGGTGTTGTCACCATCATTAATGGGTCCTGGGAGCCCTATCTTAACATTGCCAGTGACTCTCTGGGGAGGAGGAATTGGTGGTAGGAAATAAAAGAAGTGAATGAAACAAGCATTGAAGAGGACTAGATGGTGGCTAAGAGGGGGCAGGTTCTGCTTTCTCTCTGGGTGTGGTTCAAGGGCAAATAGGTCTGGGAATGTGAGCTCAGTTAAAAAGACAAAAAAAAAATTCCACAAAACCCACCCTTGTTAGAAGAGTTGTTTTGAGGAGCAAAGAAAGATGTTCTGTTGCCTCTTCCAAGGCCTGCTTCACTGCTGCTTGGCTGCCAGTGAGTACAGGATGAACTGGGGAAATCACGTATGAAACACAGCTGTTGTGATGGGGCTGTGTTGGGCCCTAGCTTAAAAGCCCCTCTACTATGGGGGACAGTGATGGGTCAGAGCTGCCCCTAGCATCTTGCTGAATTCCTCTGGAGCGGATGCGAGAGGCTCCTCTTGGCTTCAGTGGGTGTAAGGGGGGGAGCATTGCCTACTATTAAAAGGTGCTGTGGGCAGTGACTTAGGGGTAAAGGAAAGTTGAATGTTTTTCTCCTAATCTGTAAGGTGTTCAGCTCCCTGCTGGTCACTGCCTGGTTTGGCAGGATCCCTGACCCCTCAATGCGTTGATATTGAAGTGTTTCCTGCATGTAAAGGTATTACAAGGTTGTTTCCATTCTGAGTGGAAATCAGATGCCTTTCCAGATGTCTACAAGGCATCCAGGTGTCAAACCTATCATTATCATACATACTTCATATGGACATAAAGACTGTTCATATTCCATATACAGTCAGGGAGGCATTCATGAGGATTGCATGCAGTGTTCAGTCCCAAAATGAAACAAAGCCACAAAAGCATGGTTTTTGCATACCTTTAAAATTTGGCCTGATCCTGGCATCATATCCTGAAGTTCGCCCCATCAACTTATCCAAGAAGTCGGAAGGAGACATGGGTTTGGGGGCAGATCGTGCTGCTGCTTCAGCTTCTTTGGAGGCTGCCAGGCTGTGTGAACAGAAAGAAAGAGGAGGTTTTAGTGTACATCCCATACTGGGGAATGTTTGGGGTCCAGAAATCAAGCAGTCAGCATCTCATTCCT